GGGCCTCTTGTAAATTCCCAATATATCTCTTTATTGTTCTTTATTGTATCAAGAGTCCTTCAGCAGGCTCACGACCTAGTATGATTCAGGCTCAGACGAATGCAAAAAGAAAGAAAAAAAAAATCTCATTACGAACTAAAAGCTCCACTTTAGGTGACACCTCGTATAAAGATGATAAGCCATGGAGAATGGCATGGAATCGCACTGCACTGATGGAAAAAGATGTGGCCCTGAAACCCGGCAGGAAAATTATAGCTGCTGAGCACAATCGTTYGCAGAAAAGCAGATCTTGCGCCACRCTCTCCAACACCTWCTTAACATTTCTGTGCTGATCTTTGTACTGTTGACTCAAAGAATGACATTCTTTAATAAAACCATAAGAGCTGGGCTCTACAGGATGCATACTGAACAGGGGGGAGCAAGTGGGATATAGAGAGCATTTATCAAAAGGACAGGAGCAAAGTGGTACTTAATTTAATTCGGTATGTTTGAGAGTAAGCTACAACTTGGAATAACACCTGAAGGTTTAAACACAATTTTCCAGGCCATCAACTGACTATCAACTTGCCACGTTATTTTGCCCCTTCGAGTCAAACCGTCTGCCAGCAATGTCTGCAGCTGCTGACTCATGACATATCGAACCAAAGTGGGAGCTCCTGCGCAGCGCTGAGCGTGACAGAAAGTTGTAGGGGGGAATAAAGAAAAGAAAAATCTGTCTAGGGGGATTTAAATGGACTTCGAATAATGTAAAGGCATTACCTCCCCAATGGTTTCAATATCTAATTGTTAGCAAAGTGATAAAGTTCACATATGCTGACAAAAACTGCGATAAGACAGCCATCCTTATCTTTGTCAATTACCTTCCCATGCTCAGTCAAGGTTTCTCCACCAATTAACCTTCAGAAAGAGACTGGAGCTAATTCAATTAAACTGGACTGCAGGACCAGGCTTCTGACTGACAGCTCCCCCTCCCTCAGTGTTCTGACTGAAAGGCCGCGGACAGAAACATTTCCTGTGCTTATTCTTGATATCGGTTCAATCTAGTAGGACCTTCTGACACATTTAGGACGATGACATTATCACGCAGATTAGCTCAAAAAGAGACAATGCAGAGATAACTTATTCTTGAACGTAACGCAATGAAAAAAAAAGAGAGATAGTCGGGTCTACTTTCAGTTTTAGAGTTTTACACTGATATAGATTTTTCATCTGAACTGAATTGAATTTTCAACAGCAAGTCACTCAACAGCAGCTCTGCGGCATGTTTAATAACCCTTCAGCAAGTGGCGCGTTTCAACAGATGGTGGTTCTTGACAGCAAATAGGAGCTTCAGTGACAGATTAATTAAACAGATGTTGCATTTTGCTACACAAATGTATGTGTGTGTATAGCTCATGCCCGGGCAGATCAGCTGGTGATTTATTTGATTTAGTGGGAATAAAGTCTTCATACCTGAAACCATACGAGGTGAGCTCTTGCTTTTAGAAAAAAGGCTATTACAGTCGCAGGAGGTGACAGGAAGTAAAATCAATTGATGCTAGCCAGGATGTTAGAAAAGTCTGGCTCGTGTTGCAATTTGATCCATCTACAGTGACTACAGAAGTGAAGGGGGAACACCGTGGAGGCAAATGGAAACAAGCCCTTTGTGTGATAGCTTTGCAGTCTAAATAAAAGTGTCTTTGCCCTGAGAAGAGAAGTTATTGCTTCAGACAGAGCAAATTTGTGGGAGCTTAATACGGGGCAGAGGATGCAGCAGAGGGCTTATGTTTGACTATTAAAGAAGAGAAAGGTAGTGGTCCACTGAAGGAAGCCAAGTAGACTCAGAGAGCTCAACAGGAGAGCTATGAGGACAGCTTTGTACAACTGAACTAAATGTTTAAAATCAGCAAAGACGACAGTCTTTTAATGACACTAACTTAAATTAAATGGTAGAAAAACCCTGTTAAAGATAATTACTGGCTTGCTGGCTAGGAAATTTAGTTTCCACACAAGCAACAAATCTTTTAAAGGGTCAATATCATGTAAAATCAACTTTTTTGTGTTTTATATCATGTTATAATGTTATACTCTCATAAAAAAAACATGCCCAAAAACCTTGCTTTGACTCATTCATGCATGTTTGAGAAATCCTGCAGCATTTTTAGGAAGCCATGCTGAGGAGCAAAACGACAGGTGGGGACCAGAAACGCCTTTGGGGGCCAGAAACACCCCTGAGACGTGTCTTTAAGCCGACCTTCCTCATC